TAATTAGAGGTCAAGATTTTATACAAACGTTCTTTTTTTCCTTTTTTGGTGGATCAAACGTTCTTTTCTTATGTGTACTATTGTTTCGTTTTTCAATGCCATGTTTAAAAAATATTATGTTCTGCGGTAATGAGTATTTAGACCCACAAATCAATTAACTTGGGAAAAACACTGGTAATTACAGCAACCACCAAAATCACAAATCTGCGCATAAGATTATATAGTAGGGAAACAACTGTAATTGGAGCACTATAATTTCACATACAAAAACCCCAAACAATAGCAAGAAACAGAGAAGAAATCGCAAGAAAACCCAAGGCTTGAATAAGGAATCGCAAGAAAAAATAGCGATGGGATGAATATAGTTTATGAAGGAAGAAACAGAGAAGGTGAATGAAAACAGTGTAATAGCACGATATAACTATAACGATGTAATTCATTTTAATTATAAAAAGACAAAAACGGTGTAATTTGAGTGCACAATAGATATATTTATCTGAAGTGACAGCAGAGACTTTAATTCCCATGTTTATATTAATTTATACTTCCAGAGGTCATGTAACTGACTACATCAATTTTTCTTCCACAGATTGCTACTTCATCTATCTGCTTTTTCTTAGTCAGTTTTTCCCCCCTTTGAAATTTTTATTCAAACTGATCCAAAGTCTAAGCCATCATAACTTATTTCATTGCTAAGGACATCAGGACTCAGGACAAAGTCTTCCGTATGAATTATCAAGTTTTATTTTATTTTTCTATAACAAGTTTTTATGGATCTGGATCCTCTCATGTGAAAATTCACATGATCATATCACGTGGAGAATCATAACCATACACAGGTGGATCAATGGTAATAAAGAAGGAGAGAGAGACAGGAAAAGTTAAAATAGGTAGTTACGAAATCATTGATTTACGTTTGTATGGTTGTAATCTTCCCACATGATAATATCATGGTTTTTTTGTTCATGAGAGAATCCATTTCCAGTTTTTATATTGTTTAGACGTAGAATTCATTCAATCCAGCATTTAGTAATGCGGTTTGAAAAATTCTTAAAACGCCTGTCGTGAAGGAAAACTCTGTTGCATATGCGTTTGGTAAATATGACTTATCTCTTGATTATGGCCTCAAGTATTTTCATCTCCTTCCTGATTTCGTTTACGCTCCATTCCTGCGTACGCGTGATTATTCCAACACTCTATTGGAAGGAGAAGTAAAAGTGTAATTTGTTTGGGCTCCAGTATCGCTTCTTCATATTTAAAAAATTCAAATGATGCAAAGAGTATTGTATGAATGTCTTAGTGGAAAAGTCAATGACCAACTTTTGACTGAGTTAAAATAATAAATAAATAAATTATAGTATATGCAACACCATATGAGTGGTGACAATTGTTTAATACACTTTCTATTTCAATGAATAGCTAATTTTAAATATCGTATTCTGAAAATAAGATAACTGAAGACGATTGTATAGGATACCTTTTAGTTATTAAAAAAAAGATTGAATATATAGGTACTCGTAGAATGTGGACTGCGTAAATGTTATTTGATGGCTTCCACTGTCAGTTAATATCTCAACAATTAACTCTCGCTACTAAATAATTTGATATTCAATCCCGTAGTTCAAGTTCTATATGATAGTCATCAGTCAAACTTGGCGGTTTTTTTTTTTTTTTTTTTTACTTTTTTGGAAGAGTTTTTATTCTTTCGGCTAACGAAGACTCTGTCTGCTCCTCAAAGCCCTTCCTTTCAAAAATTTGGCCAATAAACACTTATCCCACCTGTTCATTTAAGATTAATATGATTATCTCAAAATGAAATTCACTCCACCTATTTAGTTTGGGTTGTTAAAAAATATATAAACATAAAATTAATGTTGAGAATTAATTTTAAAATTTGAAATACTTCCATTACGTACATAGTATAATTATACACAAAGTTTATTTATAAGAATATATTTGAAAAACCTATTAATTAACTCTTATTTATTTTAATTATTAGTATTTTTCCATCCAAATTCATTTTATTCACCTTAAAAATTATTTATTAATCACGGGTGTTGAACTATACCTATTAATAGGAATTCATTATTGAAAAAAATGAAATTTAAATCAGTATAATTAACTAAAAACAAACATGAAACAAAACAGTTAGCTAATATAAAATAAACATGGTAAAAGAAAAAAAATAAAGATAAAAATTATACGTTTGGCACTTTTATTTATAAGTAATATATTAATAAAATCAGCTGAGTTTTATATGAAAAATTGAAAATAGTCTTAAGTTTTAAAGTATATAATTTGAGTAAAAAATACTTATTTTACCATTGCATGAAACAATAGTTTACCAATTATAATTAAAAAAGAACATGCGAGTAATCATGTGCTTCTAGAAGGGATTTTAATTTTTTAACACATCTTATTTGAGTTTAAGTATATAACAATCAACCATTCACCGCTTAGTGTTGAAAGATTTGTAATAATTATATACTATATTCCACACGCTTTTTGGCAGGACTGTTTCGCCCAAATATGTAGCTGACTAGCTGGTTGCTACTACTCCCTTTTCATTTCGAATATTTTTAAATAACATGTGCATCTTGTGCTTGGGCCCTCGGTGACGAGCAAACATGTAGAGGATCCGGACCAATGCATCCTTTGTAAGAGAGAGGGGAGGAGAGAGGAGACAGAGAGAGGGACCAGGGAAATGGGTGACATTGCAGCAACATCACGCACTTCCAAATAGCAGTGAGATAAAAAGTGTTTTAAAATTCGGATCAGTTATCGAACCGGTCGAGGTACTGGGTCATTGGTTCAACTGGATTTACTGTTCACATATTAAAAATATAAAAATATTTCTTATATTAATAAAAATTCACATAAGAAAATTATTAATGAGCTTCAAAAAATAAATTGATTTTCAATGATAGAAAATATTATATACTTCTAAGCTTCTAGCTCTATAACATATCCTAATATTGGATTAAAATTATAATATAAGTTAAATACATCTTTTGTGCTTGACATGATACGGATAAATTAAATCATGATAACAAATACTATGCATGAAATATACACTAAGAAAAAAGTGTCACCGTTATCATGATAACAAAGAGTATGCATGAAATATACACTAAAAAAAAGTGTCAACCGTTGAGATGAGATCACGAGACCATAAGTGTTTATCACCACACAACTTCATGAGATCATTATAAGATGCAACTAAATTACATAAACGAACTGCACTAATCTAAAATACCTTATTACTTTCACCTTAATTTTAATCATATTCATCATAAAATATGAATATGATTTAATTCAAGAGTTTTTATCAACAAAAAAAAATTACCAAAAAAAAAAGGAATAACCGGTCTAACCCGGGTCATCCGGGTCGCCGGGTTTCGGCCGAGTCAACCGGTCCAATCCGGGTTGACTGCAGAAGCGATTCAACTACTCGTTTGGATCGAAAAACCCACCGAGTCATCGAGTCTCAGGTCAACCGGCCGTTCTGAGCCGAGTTTTAAAATACGTGTGGACTTTTTTCCAACACACTTGCTTCGAAGAAGAGAAAAGAAAATGAGGGTTATAGGGTGCAAGTCTTATATTATAATATTAAGAATGATAAATCATTTTTTGTCACCCACTCTTTTATTAATCTGAAATAAGTTCAAAAAATTCATAATAATTCGTACATTAAATGAAATTTAATCTTGGAATATTTAATTCTATTTTTTTTAATGTTTTATCAATAAATTAACTATATTATTTGACTTAAATTTTTTTTCATTTTAATGATTGATTAAATTTTTTATTTTTTATAAATTTTGAAGTAATTATATATCAAATTAAATTATTTGATCAAAAATTTTAAATTTTTATCATGTATAAAAAGTACCATTTTTATCCAAATATATATTTTTTTCTTCTGGAAGTTACGTTTGTATCCTTTATTGTGATTTTATCAAAAAAATAACATTTAGGTTATTACATCCAAACAGTCTAAAATTATTTTTAAAGTCAAACGTATTATATATATATATATATATCTATATATATATATATAAATATATATATAAATATATATATATATATATAATGAAAAAAGTATTTATCATTTTAAATGAAAAGTTTTTTTGTCAGTTTTAATGAAACTACGTCATTTTGATGTGTTTTTGCATTCTTTCTCCTCAACTTTTTTCTTCTTCCTAATTTTATATAAAAAAAGAAAATATCAAAAACACAATAAAACAACATAATTTTATTTAAAAAAAACATAAAATTGTGTCATTTAAAATGACAAATATTTTTTTCATATATAATTTATAAAAAGTATTTTAAAAAAATTATACTTAAAAAAAACTTTATAACAATCTTAAAATCACTATTTTCCCTAGCTTAACCAAACAAATCCTAAGAAATTCTTACCTAAGCAATGACTAGATCAAACATTTATAGTTATTATTTTTTTTGGAAATTTTTTAAAAGTTTTTGTACAATTTTTATGATATACATTTCATGACGAAATCGTTTGAACTTTTCAGTGTGTGAATTTGAATTCTCTAAACTAAGAAGTGCACTATAAAAAGGTATATATATTCATCATAGGTAAATTAAATTAAATTTTGATAAATGTGTAATTTATAATTTATCAAAAATGAACTTTGGAACATTTATTTGATAGTTAACAGTTGTTTGCACTTCACTATATTCATCAAACTAGGAAGGATATTTAATCCTGATTATTATCCCTTTGGTGTTTATGACAAAGCAAGTACTTAAAATTGAGCATTTGACAGCTATGCAAATACTAGGAAAACTGAAAAAAAATTCAAATCTTTGACTTTCCATATTTAGTCACAGAAACCATATATTTCAACATTATTATACGGAAGCTTCCCAGCCACGTTCTCACTAAACCAGTCTCGAATCTTCATTTCCCACTCTCTCTCTCTCTTCCGCCCCCATTTAAAGAACCCTCACTCACTCTCTTGTTTTCATGTCATCAATCACACACTGCACAATGAAAAACAATAACGACCCACCAGTTACCCACCTGTTCTTCCTCCTCGTCCTTCTCGGAATCCCTCTCGCCGCCGCACAAGACCAACCCAGTGACTCACCCTACCCAAATCTCAACAAGTTCAACCCTTCCTTTGCAATAATCATTGTTATATTGGTTGCTGCTCTTTTCCTCATGGGCTTTTTCTCCATCTACGTTCGCCACTGCGCCGATTCGCCGCCGAACAGCCTTCACCCCCTCACCAACGGCAGGTCAAGGAGGGCGGCGCGTGGACTCGACGCGGAGGTGATCGAGACATTCCCAATCCTCGAGTATTCCGAGGTCAAGGTTCACAAGATTGGAAAAGAGGCGTTGGAATGCGCCGTTTGCTTATGCGAGTTCGAGGAAACCGAAACGCTGCGTTTGATTCCCAAGTGCGACCACGTTTTTCACCCGGAGTGCATCGACGAGTGGTTGGCTTCCCACACAACCTGCCCCGTTTGCCGAGCCAACCTCGTTCCCATCGCCGGCGAGTCCGTTCACGACGTTCCGGTGACGAACCCTGAGTCAACAGATGTCGAAGCCCAAAACGACGCCGTCGAATCCGCGCCAGAACAACAAAACGCGGACGCTGAGCGTGTCTTGTCGGAGCCAGAAGTGGTTTCCTTGGATAAAACGCTGAACAGAAACCGGACGCGGGGTTCTTCGCGAGGTTCTCGGTCGAACCGGCCACGCCGTTTGCCCCGGTCGCACTCGACCGGGCATTCGTTGGTCCAACCGGGTGAAAACACTAAACGGTTCACTTTGAGACTGCCCATGGATGTGAGGAAGCAGATAATAAACCGGCAGTTGGAACGTGCCAGCAGCTTGATTCTATTCCCCAGAGAAGGTAGCTCAAGGCAAGGTTACCGAACCGGTGGCGAGGGGAGTAGTAGGGGCAAGTTTTCGAGGCGGCTGAACCGGAGTTTTAAATCGGACCGGTGGGTTTTCACTATGACTCCCCCATTCTTAGTTAGGGAATCGTCGATTAGGTTCCCAAAAGTAGGTAATGACGCCGATGAAGGGGGTTCCTCCGTCGCCTCCGTTACGCCGCATTCGGCCGTTGACTCAAATCGCCTTCCAGTTTGACAGTCATTTGGGTTATGGTCTTTTGCCCCAACATCAACATTTCATTGTTTTTTGTTTTTTTTTGGGGCACGATTTTGTTTTCGATTTAAAATTTGTAAAATGTGTATCATGAAAAATTGATATTCTCCTAAGCTTAAACCATTCAGTTGAGTTCAGATTTTAGAAATAAAAATAGAATGCGCTAAAAAGAAAAAAAAAAAAGGACAGTAAGAGACATAAAAGTACTGTTCTGGTTGAAATGGGTTTTGGATACGGGGTGATAAATTGGGACAATTAAGTAAAAATAAAAAATAAAATAAAAATAAAAATATGATTTTTTAAAAATTGAATTGATTTTAAATATGAAGAGAGATATTTTTACTATCAAATTTTTTTACTACTAACTCAGTACCTATTTAATCACCATTGGATCAACATTTTCTATTTTTTCAAATTTTTTTTAGCATTCTCTCTTTTTGATTCAATAGTGATTAGATAGGTGGTAAGTTAGTAATAAAAAATTTTGATAGTAAGAATATCCTTCCTCTTTGAATATAAGGAAAAACTTCAAAAAAAATCATGTAACTTTCCTCATAATTATTTACCCCTTCCCTAAAATTTTGAATTATTTACTCCCTGACTTAAAGTTTTTTTATCATTTACCTCTGCCCTGTAAGTGATAAAGAAACTTTAAGTCAAGAGGATAAGTGATAAAAAAATATAAATAAGGGTGTGAATGATTCAAAAAATTTGTGAAGGAGTAAATGATAATTAAGAAAACTGAATTTTTTTTTAAGTTTTCCCTAAATATAAAAATCAATTTCAGCTCATTAAGATTTATCGAATTATATATATAAAAAAAATGTGGCATAGTAGTGATCATAGTCCCTTCAGTTAGATATTACTTATTAGTCAATATTTATCGAAATAAAGATTTTGGGTAAACATTTCTTTTAAAAGAGAAGAGTAAAATAATAGAGAAACACAAACAAAATCCAGTGCTTCTGAACCAATCAAATAGTCTGTAAATTCATAATGGAATTACAAAATATGATTTTGATCGGGGAAAATTTAACAAGAAAAATGAGCGAGGTTTGCCCGTCCTTCAAAAAAAAAAAAAAAAAGTTTAGAATATTAACTAATTTTAATATGGGAAAAGTGTTTGTCATTTTAAATGACATAACAATCTGTTCTTTTAAGAGAGAGATAGACACTTTCTCTCTTCTATGATTTCTATTTTTCTGTGCCTATCTCTCTCTTAAAATGACATAACTTATATTATTTAAAATGACAAACACCAAACATTTTTAATATATTTGATTTTTCGCATGATGAGTTCTAAATTATGGTTTAAGTAAAATTTTATCTTTTGTTCAAACCATAATTTAAGTTTGCAAACTACAAACGGAACCCACAAACAGATAACTAAGTTTCGCATTACATAATCTTCCCCCCAAAAAAGTTGCATCTTTTCCTCTTTTGACTTAATATTCAAGATAATATATTTTTATTGATTCCGCTGCACTCACAAAAGAATATTGAAGTTTTACATAAATGAAAACGCACAATTTGATTCCGTGAAGTTACTGGAATTTTAAAATATATATAGCGTTTTATTAATGTTACGTAACATAATTTAAGTGTTGTTTCTAACACATACAATAAAAAGGAGAGAGAAAGTGAAATGATGAAAGAGAAAGAGAAATATGTAGACCCCACCTCTTTAATATGTGTGTAGGAAAGTGAGGTTATATTATGTTACATGATAAACATAAAACCTATATATATAACTGCAAATCTGCTTTACCTCTCTTTTTTACATTTATTTCTCACTCTTATTTGGTAAAGTTTAAACTATGAGACAGAGGGAATAAATTCTCTCATATTATTTAGAGGTAGGATCATTTGACATCAGTGTCAAATTTAAAATTTGATACCTTATCTGATTATCGTTAGATCAAAAAAGATCAACGACTTTGATTTGTAAACATGTGACGCCATTGATCTTTTTTTATCTAATGTCTATAAGATGATATGTCAAAATTCTAATTTGACATTGGTGTTAAAGAATCCTACCTCTATTATTTAATATGATCATATCATATAAAATGGTTATAATTGTTTATGTTGATATCAATGATAATAAAAAATGAGAATGAAAAAATATTGAAATAGGAAATGATAAAATTATCACCATTCATCTCTTCTTATATATCTTTGATCGTATTAAATGAGACATAGAGAAACTACTCCCACAAGAGATAACGTGTTTGTCTTGATGTTTGCCTTTTGTATTTCCTATTGTATCTAGGGTGAGATAGACTTGTTCGGACATAAGAGAATCGGTTGCTTTGGATAAATGCGTTTTGGAAGGAACAAAATGCCGAAAATAGGATCAGGCGTTTGCGGATGGTTGTTTCTTTTGACAATGTATTCTTTTCCTACATGAATCAATTCCTTTGCTTTGTGCTCTAAATTGAACTATGTCAATTGCCAACCCACTTTTCATTCTTTATTGGTTGGCCCTCTATTTTTCAATTAAAAAAAAAAACTAGTTGCTTAACAAATTCTATTCCATGAATAAATTTTGAAACCTAGTTAGTGCATACCTACCTAATCGATACAATATTATTTAGATGTGTTGAAAATTCAAAGGTGAGAGTTTCATATTGGTAGATAATGAATTAATTGAGAATTGTATAATTAAGTGATAATATTTATAGATTCGATGTCTTAAGATCTTGAATCAAGATGAGATATGAAACTATTTATTATGGTTCAACTAGCATATATAATCCATTAGTGAAAATTTTCACCTACCATGACTTAGATGGTTGGATTGCTTATAGTTCTATCTTAAAATTTCGGTGACAATTCAATTTTTCTTTTTTCTTTTAAAAAATATAAAATTGTAGTTTTTTTTTTTAAAAAAAATATTCTAGTCAAGTTAAACGTTTGTTTTTTCAAATGGACGTTTACAAATCGTAAACGTGATTTTGTAAACAAAGGAAAAATCATGAGTTATTATATAAAACAAATTTATGTTGAATATATTAATAATATAATCTAATATTATGTTCATATACAAAACCAATATGTAAGAACATAGTTATTTGCATTCAGATGGTCCGAAATAGCGTGTATTATTATTAGGAATTTCTGTAAATTAGAGGTAATACTATTGAACATTTCAAATGTCTTTTAGTATAATACTTTAAACAACTCTAAACCTTTTTTCTCAAATCCAAAACTTCAAATAATTTATTCATGAAATTACACTAAAAAATAGAATTTTTGAATTGGATTTTAAATAATTAGACAAAAAAAATTTATAACATTATTTTATTGTAAAATGTCACTTCGTTTTAAATTTATTTTCAATTAATTTTATAAAATTAAAATCATTTGAAATAAAATTTATAAACGCAAATTCAAAAAAATATTTTATGGTTTCTTACGCTTGCATAAAACGCTAAAATTTTCTCGCAGCTTTTGTTGATGCTCATATAAAGCAAATCAATTTAGGAAAAAAAAGTATGTTATTTTAAATGATATAAATTGTCTTTTTATATAACGTCCGGCCGCTTCAAGAATCAACAACTATCCCTACATACTAACACGAGACTTTTTAATGTGTTTTCTCCTCACTCGCACACTTCCTGGGAAGTTTTCTCAGGAAGTGTGCGAGTGAGGAAAAAGCACACTGAAAAATCTCGTGTTAGTATGTGGGGATAATTGTTGATTCTTGAAGCGTCCGGACGTTACAAGTGGTATCATAGCAGGGCCTCTATTCCAGTAAAGTGTGGTTCGAGGACGAACCAGGCGGAAGTTGGTGGGCATGTAACATCCCGAGTGCTGACAAGGGCGGGGAGTGATCGCCGGTGCAAAGAGACACGGATAAGGAGAGGCTCCTGACAGGCTTTTAGCGGGGGTTACATGCATGAATGAATTGAATCGACACTCGAAAGAGAGGGATTTCAAAGACTGTACAGGTGCGAGACTGAACAGTTTGGGATAGCTTATAAGAATTAATTGGTACTACTACTACCTATACTAACAGGATGCATCTTCTTTTCGGTACCCCGGAACGGAAGAACTCCATAGTTAAGCGTACTTGACTTGGAGCAATTCGGGATCGGTGATCTCCTGGAAAGTTTTTTTGGGAAGTGTGCAAGTGAGGAAAAAGCACACTGAAAAGTCTCGTGTTAGTATGTGTGAATAGTCATTGATTCTTGAAGCGGCTGAACGTTACATATAAAGAGATGCAAATCTCATTGAAAAAAAAATATGAATCTCATCTCTTTGTATATATAAAATGATATAACTTATATTATTTAAAATGACATATTTTTTCTAACAATTTAAACACCCACCTCTCTTTTTTAAATTCAACTGAATATAAAATTCTTAAATTCTTTGTAACGCCACCTAAATAGATTATCACAGTCGGTGATGGCAAGCTTCCTTTCAAATGAGGTTGTAAATGGGCTAGCTTAGAGAGCCCTACGAGCTAACTTTTATTAAGTCAAATTCGGCATATTCCATATAGTTATATATAGCAGATTCAGATTTTTAAAAAAGTTTATTTAAAATATAGATCACAGACTTTTATTTTACATATAGGCCTGTAAATCTACAAGTTGGCTGGAAGAATATTATTTATTTAAAAATAAATAAATAAATATTTTAATAATTTTAAATAATAAAGTAATATTTTTAATTATTGTATGATTAATAGACTTAAATAGTTTAACGGTCATAGGCCAAAACTTTTTTTTTTTTTTTTGATATAAAGCAGACCAGACTTATAATTTGAGTCTGGTTATGCCTAAAATATTTTATATAAATTAAATATATTTAATCCAAAGTTTAACCTAAGTTAACTTATTTACACTCTTACTTTTTAAGGAAAATGGATCCTCTCATGTCTAATTTAACATGATCATGTTATGTGAGAGGATCTTAACCATTAATAATTAAATCAACAGTGACGATTGTGTAACTTCCTATCTTTATGTTTTTCCTCTCTCCTTCTCTATCACCATTAACTTATCAATGTATGATTATGATTGTCCCCACATAACATAGTCGTATTAATTAGCACATGCGAGGATTCAGTATCCTTTTTAAGCATATATTCAAA